GCTTCCATAAGGATTTACAGCCTTGGAAACCTATAGGGGAGTTCTACTCTGTCCTACAGAGTCACTATGAGTCTGAATTGGACTCCACATCAATGGGTTTATATATGTCTTAATTTGCCTTCAGTAGATAAAAGAAAAAAAGATGTCAATATTTGATATTCTCTGAAGGGCCAAAATAAGAAATTGTGTGGCCTCAAGTAATTCTACTGATTTCTAAGCACAAATACTATGTTTAATTTTTTTTTTTAAATATTTCAACATCCTGAATGTTTACAGTTATGCAAAATAGTAAGTACAAACAAACTCACACATAAAATGTCAGTATAGTTCTGAGCCAGGGTACATAACGAATTCTACATAAGAGACAAATTAAATGGTTAATAGCTCCAAAGAAAGACATTAGGCTTGGATCCTGCCTAGGATGCAATTTTGCCTTTTAAGAAGCAAACAAAATATTTCTGTCCGCTTTAAAAATTATGAGTCAACATCATCATTAGCATTGTTTTCCAGCTAGGAGGCTAAAGAATTCTCAGTTTCTGGGAAAAGTGGGGGTCAGTGTTGCCATGAGAACCACTGGAGATATATATATATAGATATATATATATATATAGATATATAGATATGTATCAAATGTCATCAAAGAGAGGAAGATAAAAACTGCTATGCATCAGATCAGGTATCTAGAAATCTATCAAAGAAATAGCTCTCACCTATCTAGGATGGATTTTCAAATTTAGATACATTTTGAAGACTATAAGTTTCATTCAGATACTTTTTTCCTAGGTAATTAATGAGGACAGAATTCTACAGGCAAAAGAAAGTTCAATAGTAAAGATTTCTGTAGAAATTACCACTCTTTCTTAAAAATATATATTCTATAAAAATACTTCAAAAAGGCATTTTGAAACCTGTTCTGATTCTGAAGCGTATATCCTGTAAACTCAATCAGGCAAGGTTTCACTATTAATTCTCACCTCACCATATATTATCAACAATATTTGAGTTTTCAGTGAGAAGCCTATAGATTTCTAATATCAGTTTCTATCTTGGTGGGTACAAATGAAAGCAGTAAATATTCAGAAAGTAAAGGTGTTAAAAGTTGGAACGAAGCTTTACTTGAAATTGAAATTGACAAAAATTAAACTTTTTAAAGGTTGTTAATAAGGAGTATATTGTTTTATACTATTTATAGAAATTTTTAATTTTGTAGAAGTAAACAAACATATGTTCTATAAGATGCTTTTTATAGCCAGTTTTTTCTTTCAAGTTTTTCCCTAAGGACACACAAGTTGGAACCCTATTTTCTTGTAAAAACATGTTGAGGCAAACACAGGATGTGATTTTTTCTGGCCCCAAACGTTTCCAGGCCCCTTAGTACTATCTCTAGCCAGAGAAATCTACTGGCTTCATTTTTATGTTTGTTCAACATTAGTATAATATTAAATAATAAAGTTGGTATTAATAAGAATTTATTAGATACTTGCCATCAAGGAGACAGGGTATTCTATGCTCCATGTTCTATTTAAATATAAATACCACATTCAAGAGAATATCGTCAAAAGCAAAAGAGATAACTGACTTTGATGCTAGAGAAAGGACAGGAGAGGTGCAGGAGCATGATTTTAGTTTAATACCTCTACTTAGAAGTATTCTCTAGTGCAATAAAAATCCATCTGAAGAAGCAAGAAGGTGTAATACTAAAAGATTTTTTCTTGAAAAGTACATGAAGTACATTGTACTCACATAGTACGTTCAAAAAGAAAAAAAAAATCACAGGGTAGAATTAAATGATTTTATTTTTGCATTACAGTATTCTTAGAAGAAATTCTATTTCAAGTGTAGGTGATCTTTTCCCAAAAATGGCCTCTAGGACTCCATTGCCTATCTTGCAATGGAAATGCACCATTATCTTGTAGCCTTGTTGACATAGTTTAAACTTATTTTGCGTAAAATCCTTCCAACTCTTTTTCTGCTCTAAATTCTTTAATTCTTTTGAAATTATAGTCAGAAAACCTTTTGAATATCTCTGCAACACCTAATGACTTTAGTCATTGTTTTGCTACATCTGAGGCAGATCTTTCCTAAGCACATGGCTCAAGCTTCAGGGAACCATTTCTAACAGTAAGTTGTGTCCTAGTTACATATTCTAAATAAATAACTTGTTAAAAACATCTCATTTTATTATCAGTTATGAAGACATTTTTATATTTCCTCATAATTATAATCTTTATAAGGGCAAAAAAAATAGATGCCGATTATATAATCCTTAGAGGATTAAAAGACTAGATAAGATGTGCTGGTCAAAGACTAGACCGGAACTAGGAAAAGGCAGCAGGCATAGAGGAGGAGAAATGGATAAAGCTAGCATTTTACACTTTTTTTTTCCATTTTCCCTGCCAAGTCATGATAAAGCAGTACTGGGGATGGTGCTGAAATGTCCAGCCTCAGAACCTATAGAGATGATACTTTCAGGTTCTTTTAGACACCATGATGTTTTTACTTCAGTCTGTCTAGAAAAGAAGACTTAGTATTCTTTTTTTTTTTTTCTTTTTTTGAGATGAGGAATCTGACACAGAGATGTTATGTAGAAGGATGAAGTCACACACTTGGTTGTGATAGAACTAGAATCGTAATTCAAGCTTCCTGGACTTCCATCTATTGACCCTTCTAAAATGTCGGTAGGAACCCTATCTTTTCTGTGAGTTGGTAATTATTCTTTTCAGGAAAAAAATAAAGAAAATGTAAAATCAGCAAGACTCCTTTGTCCTCATGAGGCACTTAGTCCCCATGATGCAGCTGAAGACAATCTGTTTTGAGAGACTGAGAAACTTGTCTATAAGTAGCAGATGGCAGAGTTTGAGCCCAATTCTGTCTGAATCTAGCCCTTGAGTTCTTAACCACTTTATTGAATTAAAAACAGAACATTTTGCTACTTAACAGTACTTTATTCCAAACGAGTCAATGTCAAATATGCCACAATGGCAGTCCCGAGACATTTCCATTATTCTTAAGAACTGACTAAACCTTAACTCTACCCCCTTCTTTTAGCTGTACTAATTTCTAAATATATCGAAAGCATTTCAAGTGAAATCTTTTAATTCCCTTTCTCCCCCACTCGAAGAGCCCTGTGGTGCAGTGATTAATTGCTCGGCTGCTCACCGAAAGGTCAGGGGTTCAAACCCACCAGTGGCTCCAGGGGAGAAAGATGTGGCGGTCTGCTTTCATAAAGATTACAGCCTATGAAACCCTATGAGGCAATTCTACTCTGTCCTATAGGGTAGCTATGAGCCGGAATCAATTAGATGGCAATAGGTTTGGGGAAGATTTGTCCCAAGTTCTTTCAAATTCCCTCACTGGCCAATTCTTTCCTCATCTTTGATCTATGCCTTATCACTGGTTTCTTTCCCTCTGCCACCTGGCTCCCCTACCCTTTCTCCTTAAAAACATCCTCCCAGTGCTTTGTGATTCTTTCAACTAAAAATGATGCTGAAGTTTCAGTTAATGTCTTCTGTCACTGTTTACTCATGTCCCATTCCTCTGATCCAGAGCAATTTTAGCTCCATACTAAAAATATTCCAAGATATAACATCCTCCCAAGCAACTCACAGCCCTTCAGGCTATTCTCTCTGAATTCATCACTGCATACCAATATATTGCAAATGTTTCCACATGGTGCTCATTCTGACTCAAGTCTAGCATTTTAGCTCTCACTCTCACTCCTACTGCATATCTCTTTCTGACATGACTCAGTCTGTACAAATCGACAATTTCCCGTTGTTCAAGGCTATCTCTAAGTACAGCATTTACTGTGATTCAGTTATATTCTTTGTCAGAAATATTCTTTCATGGCTCTTTTAAAGACTGGAAACAGATTCCATTGCATTTATTCACAAACGTGTGTAATTTGATCACTCTACATAAAAAGCCTCTTGAGGATATGGACTATGTATAATTAATTTAGCAAAACGAGTCTTCAAATATTAGAAGAGAATGAAAAATATTTATGAAATTTAGGGGCAACATGGCTAGCTCACTACTCATCAGTATGGTGGATCAGCACTGTACTCGGTAAACGTCATATGCAGTTCTGTCTATAATCCATGTTAGAGCACAGAGAAAGCTTCTCCAATGTTTTCTTTACTTTTCATCCAAGACAGCGCTAGATCTATAGTAATACATAGCAGATTGCCATTTTTATCTTGATGTACTGAAAGGCAAGCAATGGTCAAAGCCCAGTATAGTGGCTTGGATATGTCAGAAAAATAACGTAATATCTTTCCCTGTGAACACTGGGATAAAACCCTTAAGAGGTGGTTAAACTCCATCATTTTCAACCCCAGTTTTCAGGTGCAGATTAATGTTCCTATTTTGGAAACAAGCTGGTTATGTACATTACAAACATAAGCAATTTTAAGCTCAAACATTCTTAAGGCAGTCATCTCAAATTCTGTAAGTGTCAACATGTTTTACCTAAATCACTAAATGTAGAATCAATTAAGAAATATGTCCAGTGTGGTATCTCTAGCATTTATGTTCATGCCTAATTTACTTTGCTTACGTTAATTCAGATAGTTCACTTGAATATAACACAGCAATGGGAACATTTTTCTGTATTTAATCCTTTTTTATGTCCTGCTTCAGGTAGAAAAGTGTCTGCAAGCACAAGTAGTTATAAGCTGCATATAGAAATACCCATATTAAACTAAGTATTTTCTAATTACTGTATTAAATCTTAAGGCTAATATTATATGCATTTCAAAGTATCAGAAAAACCTGATGAGAAAAATATATATATATATTTAAACTGTCTTAAGGAACCCTTTATTTTTGAATTTTAATTAACAATTATTATACTCAGTATTACAAATCGTACATTGTTTTGCCAAGTTTTTCAGTAAGTTAAATGTCAGTGAAATGTGACTATAATAGAGGATATCTCTTTCTTTATCAGGATATGTTTCATTTAATAATTAAAGTAAATAAGCTGAACGCCTCAGTACCTTTTCAAGACCTTCTTCCTTGAGGCTGATCACATCCAAGTCAAAATCTGTCCGTAAACCATTGGTTTTGTTGAAAGTTATTCTACCTGTGAGGCCTTCCCAATGTGCCTGTGGAAAAAGAAAAAATATATTGATTAATAAATAAGTAAAGGACAAGAAAAGAATATATTTTTCAATAAAAAAGTGAAATATTATTTTCATTACTTTTCAAAAATTTACATGAATACATTTTTAAATAATTTTTATTATCTTCTGAATTTTGAAAGATGTGTTTGATAAATAAATTAGTCTTAGTATAAAATTTATTGTAAACTTTTCATTTTATATACTGCACTTTTTCCAAGTATATTATTTTCTATGAGAATTTTAAAGATACCTTAAATAATAAACTTCTTCATCAAAGCGAGAAGAATTTAGTTACTTAGCATGATATATGAGATATTGAATATCTCACTATGGATTACAAGTAGAACCGCTGCTATACAACACTACTCCTAAATTCATAATAATATAAAAATAAATGTATTCTATTACATTGAAAGAAATTGAATCCAATAAACCTGTACTACACTACTTAAATTACATAGCCTTTCCCTTCAGAATAATTAATTAATTACTTTTCCCCAAATGAGACTGGGAAAAATGTATCACAATTACTTCGAATCAAGCTATACTTCTTGTAAAGGAGTTCACTACATAGCAGAAGATAGTTTGGAATATAATAAACTAGCTACCTAACGGGTTCACCCTTCAATGGTCAGCAAATACCTGGACTTTTTTAAAATATGAAAAGTTTTCCCATTCTGGTGGTTATATATCCAAAATGAGATGTTGCATTGCAAATAGTCTGGTAAAATAGTCACATATTAAAATTTTAAATAATGTAATGTATACTTACAACTATAATGTTTGAAGCAGTGTATAATAAGACTCAAAAGAAGCAAAACCCAGTAGATTAAGAGTAACATTTCAATAAGGATTAAAAATGGATACCATTAGTGCTACATTTTTTTAGGCTCCAAATATTTTTCAGGTACTTAAGTGCAGGAATTCCAAAGTATTTTTAGGATAATAAATTACAAATTAAACAGAAAATTCTAATATATAGCTATATGCATAATGAATCATGTCATGACTAAAGTTAAACATATTAACTGGTCTCCAATAAGAAAGAAAAATTTATTTTTAACCCACTTCTTCCAAAAAGCAAAATTTCTTGAAGTATAAAGAAAATGTATAGTAGTACAAACATAGACAAAAACATCAAGTAGTACAGGAATAGAAGTGTAGAATAGTGAAACAAATCTGGGATAGAGACAGCACGAAGAAATGGACACCGGGTGATCTGAACTTCCTAACAACCAGTTCAATTCTGAACTTCCTAAAAACCAATGCAAAGAGAGAAATAAGATCAATACACAATATACAGTGTCTATAACTTAAGACATACCAGTTTCACAGGAGAAGCACAGCTTTTCCTGGTACTGAGACCAGAGAGAAATTTCTCCTTTTGGTTCTCATAAGGGGGACACTGATTTACTGGGCAAGGTCCTCAATAACACCTTACAATAAATACAACAGCCAGTTTCATACAACTGCTTCTCATGGAGCTGCTTGACATTTGCCATGGCCTCAACACTAAAGGAAAAGCAATTCTTCAACTAGGTAAACCTGTGAGTTATGTTTACAGCTCTCTGATACTCAATTTTTAACCGGAAGTAAAATGTATGGTGTGTGGAGCAATAAATGAACTGAATATTCTTCAGGGTGTCATCTATTAGTATCATTTCATCTATTGGGAGATATATAAGAATTAGACAACAAAATTACATGGGTCTATTCTTTTCTAAAACCTAGAGACAATTACGGTTCTTATTGTACTTTTATTGTCATGATGAATAATTTAGTATAAGATTAACTGATGATTTATTTTAAGCCATTAATGATAAATCATATATGGTGACAATATCTGTAAGTTTCTCATAGCAGAGAGTAAGGCACAGTTAAACTTTCATATAATGACTCCTTCTGTAATCAAATAAAAAGTATCCTACGGTGAGAGTAGCATTTCCTCATGACAAAGAATCTATCTATCTCTCTACCTACCTATCTATAAACGCATACATATATATATATATATATCTTAAAGAATTTTCCTACCCTCCCTTTTTTTCACCATTGTCATTGCTTGATGTATTACAATAATAAGCACACTCAGAAATGATATATGGCCATAAGAATGGTTGTATTATACAATATGTAGTAAACTTTGCACTTTTATGAATCCATATATTCTGTTTTATGCTAACTATTAGTATAATTAAAATAACTAGATACTATATTTAGGAACCATAAGTTTAAATAACTATATTTTAAGACATGCAAATTGGGTCTAAGTTTAAATTTAGTGCAAATTACGTTAATATTAAAAGTGCATTGCATATTTTGTTGCCTAAAATATAAACACTCTTTAAACATTTATCTTACTACTAGGTAAACGCTAACAATATCGTAAATCTAGCTTTCATAGGTCACAGATTTTCATCTGTTTACACCATTGCAGATAATTTGAAAACCCAATTTATTTATAATGTAATTTTCCTCCTTTTGTTCCTTTTTCTTTATTAAAAATATTAATTGTGCTTATATGTGGGGAAGGGAGAGAAAGAAGTTTAATTTAAATTGCAAACATGAAAGGTCAAACTCAGATGTAAATCCATCAAGCTAGAGTCACCTGATCTTCAACAAGGGCCCAAAGTCCATAAAATGGGGAAAAGACAGTCTTTTTAACAAATAATGCTGGGGAAACTGGATATCCATCTGCAAAAAAATGAAACAGGACCCATACCTCACACCATATACAAAAACTAATTCAAAATGGATCAAAGACCTAGATATAAAGCCAAAAACTATAAAGTTCATAGAAGAAAAAATAGGATCAATGCTATAGGCCCTATTAACACTGCGTTAATAGGATACAAACCATAACCATCAACACACAAACCCCAGAAGATAGGGTAGATAACTGGGCTCTTCAAAAAATCAAACACCTATGCTCTTCAAAAGACTTCACCAAAAGAGT